CACAGAGTATGCCCATGGGATTTTTTCACTCATCAGCCACAGCTCAATGCACCAGCTTAGCTATGGGGAGGAGAAATGATTTGCACTCATCAATCACCCCATTACAAACTCCTGCATTGCAACTGTAGGATACTTTTGAGCTTGATTTATAGAGGTGATACTGAGCTATAAATGAACTTTAATTTCTGTAAACAATGCCAGTGCTGTTTCTAAACCACAACTTACCTTTCTTTACCTTTCAACCTTTAACACCTAATTTCCTCAACAGGAACTGTAGTCTTTCAGAAGTCCCGAGAAATATTTCCTATTAATTATCTACTATAGTCTACATTCTTTCTACCAGTTCCTTGTAAAACATTACAGAGGAAACCTCTGGGAAATAACAAGTGAGCTCATGGTGACAGGGGCAAATATGGGAATTTTCTCTGAAAACTTTCCAAAATGTTGTCAGGCCTGCTGTATAACTATGGAATATTTCATCTCCACCCTTGGTAACACAAGATCTTGGGGACAGAGAAGGCGTGAAATCACCATGGAAAGAGGATGAGGAAGAAGATGCAATGCTGCAGCAGCAGCAGTCATGACCTTAGAACTCCATTAGGGAAGTGAGACATAGGGAGGGGGTAGATTGGGAAAGCAAGAGGCCTGTAAAGTATCTGAGGATTCATCCAAACTGACTGTGGGAGAGTGGAGATGAGAAAAAAAAAAAAAAGAAGAGAAGTAAAAACTAAATTTTGAGGAAGAAGGAAATGAAAACACCCGAGGTGTAACACCGTCATTTGATTGGCACCTAAGCTGGTTCTCAGCAGTAAGTGGAGATAACATACCTTTTACAAGTACCAGAGAGAAAGGCAGGAGACAGGCAACAAGAACAGAAGGAAATGGGTGGAGGTAAAGAAAGAAAAACACATAGAGTGCCAGTGTTCTGTGGACAGTTTGAACTTGCAATAATAACAAAATAATTCTGATAACAGTGTGTGATTGTTGCTAAACTGCACAGTGGCTGTTGCTCCTCTACAGAAATAAAAGTGTTGTTTATGTCAGAAACTGTTCTTTGAAATATGTATTTTCAGAGTTCAGCAGCTTCAGCGTCTGTGGACCTACACTTACATCTATCGAGAGGAAACCTGGCCTTCACCATCTTCCATTGAGCTGGAAAACAGCATAGCATCAAAATTGTTATGACTGTTTTTGGGTGGGCTGCAGTCCTTTGCAAATACAAAACTAAGTAAAACTAAATGCTCTTCTTTCTCTGTTAGTCACTGAAGGAAAACAGGAAAATGGCACACAGGTCAGTAACACAGATCTGGTCTTTGGTCCTTCAGGCAAAAGTGCCACTGAAATGAGGTTAATGAAGTAACTCATTTGGTCTATTGTTCTTGTATCTATTCCTTTCAGAAATCAAGCCATGGTGCCCGTAAATATGTGATGTAATATCTGGAAAATATTAATGACAGTATATAGAAGAATCCCAGGTAAATTTTATTCTTTAAAATTTACTTAGGGGAGCTCAACTCTCTGAAGTCAGAAAGACTCTCAAAACAAACTACAGTAGTATTTGTCAAAAGGAAGAAAACACTTCTATCTAAAATACCAGTTCCATCACATAAAAATGCATAGTGGAAGTACCAAAATATCTTAGTGTAACACTGTTCTTTAAAACTCTTCATGTGACAACAATTAAAATGTTCTTCTTCCAGAATACATCTGTTCAACTGAATATACTGCTGGGGTTTTTTAGTAATTACTTCCAGAAAGAGGTTTTTAGAGCATTTCAATAAACAATCTAAGCTTTGACCACTTGTTACATGCATATTTTTATGCTTTTAAGAATCCTAGTGGAATTTTATAGATAATTTTTTATGCTTTCTTGTCTCTAGAAAAGTCATTCTACTTAAATAGAGGAGAGGGACACCTTACTGAGACCCATCAATGCTAATTTACAGATCAGCTGTTTGCACTACAGATGTCCTAGGAAATGAGGGTCTGTATAGAGCTTAAAGCATTGGGTTTGACCTGGTAAACCCTAAACAGAATGATAACTTCTCACCTGAGAAGCCACTGCTGTCTCTGTCTGAACTGCTTGCTGATCATTTCTGTTGAAAAACTATCTTCACTGCCTTTTTTTTTTCTTGCAATGGTCTGAAATATCTTAGGTTTTTTGTCTTATAACACAGACTTCAGCGGGCTTGTCACAAGCACTGAAGTACAAAAGATCAAGATCTGGGACTTCTAGAGGATTACATACTCTATTTTTAATATAGAAATTTTAGAATTCAATTGTTTATATAAGCAAGGAAGAGAAGTGTACCACCGGGGTTTTGCAAGTAATTTTCTAAAGAAAAGCAGAAGGGAGGCACTGCTGCCATATAGATTGCCATAAGCAATTGTATCTGACAGACAAGCATATGATCCATTTAGCTAGTTATATAGCAAAGAAATACAATTTGCATGTCCGTGGGATCAAGTAAAGCCACCAAATCCAAAACAATTACTATACTCTAGTAGGATTTTATATTATTAAAATAGGGAAGTTGGGGGAAAGTACAAATAATTTAAGTACACCATAATGCGTTTTGCGGGGATTTTAATTGTGTCTAAGATGCCATTTCTAATGTAAGAAATCACAGGACCTCCTGATGAACACACAGTGCATTTTTTATTTTAAAAAAGTTGTGATATCAGAAGTTGTAAAACACCATCAATCTTCCCTTTGCAGCCTTGGTTTGGACTCTCCCCTATGAAATGGCACATTAAAGATGGTTGGAAATATTCAACCAAAAAAGGAACGTGGGTTTTGTAAGAAATGTTTTGGGGTTTTTGACCAGCTCTAGTTAACATTCATTGCAGACGCAATATTTTCAAAACTGTTTCCTGAAAAGAGAGGCTGTTCACCAACACTGTGATAGACAATTGTATTTTATTTTCAATAAAACAAATGTAAATACTGAAAAGAAGCCACAGTTATAACACTTCAAGAAATTTGTTATACATGTAATAAAAGAGAACTACACACTTTCCACCATAGAAATTCATAGAACAGCATAGGTTGGAAAAAGCCTCTTGAGGCACAATGAGCCCTCTGCTCAAAACAGATCTAATTAGTTCAGGTTGCCTGGGGACCTGTTCAGCTGAGTTTCAAATATCTTGAAGGACAGAGATTCCACAACCACGTTACTTCGAGGATTAATGGTCCTGTGGATAGGACAATGGATTGAGGCTGAAATCCATTTCCAGTTGTCTTAAACTCCTTGATTTGTGTCTGTTATGTGATCTTGGATGACTCAGTTTCTCCACTTGCAAAACTAGAATTATTATTCAAAAATCCTGCATAATTATATTATTGCATTATAAACACTGCCTGAACAACAATTTATTCAAAGATGCTATCACTGTAAAGTAAATAGTTTTAAGTCTTTAGATCCCACCATGGGAGGAATGAAGCTAAAGAAATAGGAAAAAGCTGCACTTTACATAAACCAGCAGAATACTTTACACAGTTACAGTGGCCTGCACACACAGAGGCCTAAACTGTTGGCACCTTTAGCTCTTGGCTTGTTACTGCTGATCCTGGTAACTTTAACTATTCAGGGTGCACAGTTCACACCCAATACTGACATCCTTTTCATCATGTTCTCAGTGTTTAAATTAATGACTAGCCAGTTTTCACTCTGGTTACCGTATTCTCCGATTTTATATAAAAAATATCTGAATTTTTTTCTTCCCCCTTAAACTGCAGGTATTGTCTTTCTGCCTAGAATGCCAAATCCTTGGATGTCGTTCTCATCAGAAATAGGGCATGTAATGACTCTGATTCCTATCTGTATGATGAACAGCCTTTGCTTAGAAACCTGCAAGATAATTCATGCTGTTGAGGACAGAGCCATTTTGTTTATGACGCTTATGATAATTTACCTTCTGATCTGATAAAAAGATTCATACAGAATATATCTGTATGAAATATTAGCTGTATCCTTCCATCAGCACTATTTAGACTATGCAAGTGAAAAATCCCAAAGTAGAGAGATCTCAGTTTTGGTGACTTTTGCTTCTGTTGGCATTTTGTTTAAAGATATTTCCTTGAATTTGTTTTTGTCTTACCCTGAATCCCTTTTTTCCAGATACATTTGAATCACCATAAATTTGCAACATCATGACTCAGGAGTTAAACATTATAGTGTCCAACAGGAGTAAATTGAGTTTAGTTCCTGTGTCGCAAGTATATCTTATTTCAAATAGCACCTAACTGAACTCTCATGGGACATGTAGCTCACTACTTACAGTATTTGAGACTGTGACCTCTGAAATCATAGAGCTTTTAGGTCAGGAATGCCACAATAATTGAAGTCCTGTAGACGCTACATTTTTATGTGACCATCACTGCATGTGACTTTCTCACATTCCATATCCCCATCTGGGCTGTGGCCACTCGAGGAATGACAGTCAGATGTCTGAAATGGGATTTTTCCAAGGTGAAGCAAAGGAGATGATAACTCCCAAGAGTGCAAGTATAGGACTATTCCATTGCCAACTCCTCCTTAGCAACCTTGAACAAACCCAGTGTAGGTTCAGTTTCTGATCTTTGACATGCAGATGATAAATAATCCATAAGTCCATGAGGCTTAGCACAGGGTCTAAAGAGGCTTTCACAGACTTTCATAAGGACAGTGAAACAGCACACTATTTACACTGCTTGCATTTGCAGGATTTATTAACGTTGTACCGTGCACAGGCAGACTTGGGTGGTGCATCGACATGCTATTTTGGGATCCTGCGTGCACTGACATCTGTTCTGTCATTAGGATCAGAAATGAAGGGGTGACACCGGCCTGGCCATAGCTGGCTCTGTGCTCGGCCCAGGGCCCCGAGGCCGGCACAGCTCCCCGGTAACCCGGGGAGACGGTGGCCCGGCCACCGGCGTGTGACAGGGAGAGGTGCCCAGGTGCGTTTCACCTGCTGGGAAAACGCCTCCACGCACTGCGTGCCCGGGGAGCGGAGCCCTCGAGAGGAGCACAGTGACACGGCCGTCAGGAGGGCCGGGGAGCGGAGCCGGGCCGGAGCTCGCACCTTGGCCCGGCGGGGCTTTCCTGGCCCGCACGTCGCGGTACTTTCCGGGCACGGTAACCTTTGCTTTACTCCTACTGCGCCCGGAGGGGTGGAAACTCCGGGCAGAAATCACTCGGGGAA